ATGATCCTCTTGTGCGTTTCTAGCAAACCTATCTAGAGCAGGCTGTGGCTGACACCTAACCAGGAGAGCGTGCTACCCTGGGGCTGATCACACTCCCATGGTACTGCTGCACAACTCAAATCCTGACCTCAAGGAACAGCTAAGCCAAGGAAAGGCAGTACAGAAGCAGTTTTTTGTTGTTGTTTGTTTGGTTGGTTGGTTGGTTTTTTTGCTTGTATGACTGAGAATAGAAGCAGAGGAATCTTTGATTTGTCCTCAGCTTTGGAAGTGTTGTCTATGACTGGAATGCAGGACTGTGCTGAGCAGAGCAAATCAGCCCTTGTGAAGCACTGGGTCAAATTCAGATCCTTCGGTCATGCATATTAGCCCATTCTGAGCTATCTTGTTCCTATGTCTGTGTTTGTTCCTGGTGTGTTTATTCCTTGTGTTTAGACAAGGGGATAGGAGAACTAGGTTATATAATTTTCTCTATGCTGATAAAAACAGAGCTATCTCTGCAGTTAAATATTTAGGATAAGATGAATCCTTTTGATGGCAATATGGAAGGAATGGAGAAGCGGTGTTTTAGCAGAATTAGCCAGTGATATGCTGGAGCACTAGCAAAGATTTTGCATTGTGTCTGCATTTGTACAATTTGCACCCATAAAACACTTGTGTGTTATGCATAGATATCTTACAGTGTTTTGCATGTTGTCAGAGACCCACATCTCCAGAGTACATGGGCTAACATATGGCCAGAATATGCTTTAACAAAAACGTAAAGGCATACACTTGCACATAAATACCTGCTCTGTGACGTGAAGCTGATGACCTCACTTCTCATTCTGAGGTCTTTTTAAGCACTAGTAGTGCTTATATCCTGCTTGTATTTACTCCTTAGTTACATGTGGGGTGCAAAAATGAGCAGAGTCAGGCAGGGGTGGGAATGTTGTCATTCCTTTACAGGCAGATGCACAAGGAAACATCAAGACAGAATTGCTTCATATTCATTTAATTGAATCAGCAGTATACTTGTTCATTTACAGCAAACAAAGTAGATGTTACAGATGTCTGAGTCACGCTCTGAAGGACCAAAGTATTTCTTCTTTTTGCATGTAGAAACAAATGTTGAAATCATGAGAGGAGGTGAAAAAAGCATGAGGATTCAATCTCTGCAAGAAGGAGCATTGCCCTTCCCAAGAGTTTATTCAGTGCTGTAGAATACAGAATGATTTTCTGATTGTTTTGGTGCAGAATGTGCAGAGAAATTTCCCTCATCCACTAGGGTCTCTGCGGAGAAGGAATTAACTCTGCATTAACTCCTTTGGTTGTCTCAAGCTAGCTTCCAGGGTCTCTTACCTGAACCTCTTTCAGGTGCAGACATGATCCCTATCATCACAGTGCTTGAGCACTCTGTAATATTTGTTCTAGAAACATCCTCACAAGGTAGTAGAGTGCTACCGTCCCCATCTTTACAGGAAACAGAGGCATTGAGGATTGCCTGACTTTCCCAAAGTCACAGAGGACATCCTTGGCAGGTCACTCGAATGTGGGTCCCAGCCCTCCCTCCTGCTTCCTAAGTGATCTGAATGTTGAATCATCCTACCTCTCTGTGCCTGTCTTGATTATTAGTACCAGTACATATTGCTGATGTGAAGCCTTCCCCAGGGAGCAGTCCTAGGAGTGTGTGTAGCTCTCTGTGAATGCTGCCTCCTCCTCCTCTCCTTGCCCGACAAACGCCTGTGTTCAGCCACACAGAGGATCCCCCCTACCCACCTCCCACTGCTCCATCACACTTGGGCTCCAGCTCAGACCGGCAGTGCCAACCTACGCTGCCCTCCCTGCTGCGTGAGGTGCAGTTGCTCTCGTCCTCCTCTACCCTGAAGCACATCCTGGTCTCAGGGTCCCCGACCTTCTCCTCTCCCTATTTCAGTTCCTAAGAGCAGTCACTGGTGACCATAACTTTCAGCATTCTAGTCATGCTTTACCCTTCCCACAGGGCCTTGCGGTCCCTTACAGCTAAAGAATGGGTAACTTGCTCTCGCATGCCACAGACTTGCTTTGCCTCTAAGAAGAGCTGTTTTCCTTCAGAGTGAAGGCCTTCTTTCAAAACAAACAAACAAACAAACAAAAACAAAACAAAACCCTAAAAAACGCGAACAATTTTCAAAGCTCTAAAATAATCTTATTTAAATAAATAGAATACAAATATGTTCTCAGCCTGGAAAGGTTTCTTTAGAAGAGGAGTACTTTCTGGCTCCCCTGTTTCACTCTTGGATGATGAGCCATCTGCCAATACAGTCTGTAATTTCTGGGGCTGCTTCCTTCAATAGCCTTTCCAGATGTACCTTTATAACAAACTGTGTTTTAATGGAAATTATGAGATGGTGGCTCATTGAGGGTATCCCCGCCCCTTCACTGTTCAGAGTCTCCTAGTTTATTTATAATCCAGGGATAGCATCAGGGCTGCAGGGTTTCCAGCAGTCTCCTGACCCACTTCTTTCCACTACCATGGGAATGCAGAGCCAGGAAGCAGGATACCTGCTGACCCCTGCCTGCCTGTCCTGCAGGCTCAGGGGTCTGCTGCCATGTACCTGCCTGGCCAGATGTCTGTGATAAGTTCCAGCTTCAGCTGGGTGGGTGCTGCAAAGGAGGGAAGCTTTGGCTTCCTAGCAGGAAGAAGGTTGAGTTCATATATATATAAGCACGAGAGCTGTGAGCACCTGTGTGGATAAGCACCGCTAATACCATCGTAATAGCAGGTAGCAGAACTAACAGTTAACAGTGAGAATTAATAACATAGTGTCTCCAAGCTCACTTCTAATCATGGGGACAGGCACTGTTTCAGCTGGATGGTCCTGAAATCTCAGCAGTGCCTTTAGGGCCCAAGCTGAGATTTCTTGTATGTGAGGAAAGTTCTGTCCTGGACTCAAGGAGTTCACAGAGTTCATCCATCGCTCTGGTACAGGTCTCGAGGTTAGTAGCTAGCTTCTGGATTTTGGCCTTCAGCACAGCCTGGCTCACTTTTGTGACCTCCTTTGTGTATTCTGGTACAAGGAAGCTGTGAGAGCCATAAAATACCATGAAGCAGATGGAGTTGTACAGTGAGATGGAGGCCCTCTTCTCGGACTGGAGCAGAATGGGGTCCCCTGGGCCCTGCCCCCGGCGAAGGAATTCCAAGCAGCCGAGGATTTCCCTCATCTGTTTCCGACAAGTCATTGCAATTTCCTGGACCTTCTTCACCTCTCGGGAGTTGCAGAGCACTAAGGAGACATCGGACGTGATGCTGATGGCTCCCCCTGCAGTGGCTAGACCCAGACCCACAGCTGATGCCAGGAGAGAGGCTCCCAAGGTGGCTGGGCTCAGGGACAGTCCCACGATGGCCGTGACCGCTCCTGCAGTGGTCAGGGAGCTCCCGCCGATGTTGGCAATTAGAGACCTTTTGCGAAGCTTGTTGATTTTCTGAGCCACCTCATGAAGATGTGCAATTTGCCGATGCAGCCTCTGTCTCTGATCCAGCAGCACTGTGTGAAAGTGGCGTGTGGGGTCTAGTGTTTGAGGAAAGGCAGCACCGTTTCTCTCCATGGCCTCTGCCCAGAAACAAAAAGATAGTTTTGAATTTATATATAAAGAAGTGAGATGTGCTCATCTCAGACCTCCGCTCCAGGGGTGGCATCCAGCCAATTTTTTGGTTCATCCAGCTACATGAAAAGCTTTCTATCTGCACGCACACACACACACACTCACGTACACATACATATGTGCACATTTAATTACCAGTGTAACCACTATAACTTTCAGACTGTGAAACTTCTGTATAGTTTTCTTGATCCCTGTGAAGATGAAAGTATCTTAAGGTCTGGTGTCAGGGGTACAATTGTTCTCATCTCTATGAAGACACAAAATGCCTCTTCTAATCCTGGGGGCAGAAACTTCCTTAAAATGATATGGCCTACTGTGCAGCATAGTAATGTTTCTAGAAGCAGCTAGTGTGGTCCCTGCAGTGGGATTCAGAGGACTTGCAATATTCAAAGGCATCCTTGAGAGAAAGGCCACATTCTTAGGAGGTGAAAGCCCGCAATCCCAGGTATCTGAGGGTCCTTCCCCCGTAAAGGGGATCAGGAGGAGTCAGGATCTGTCTTTTGCATCTGGAAGCTGGGAAGCTCATTGATGTCTCAGGGGATTATTGTGAACATCCTTCTTCTCTTTACACCCGATTAATTCCTTCTCCTATTGTAACCTGGTGTGAGGGTCTGGACAAAGTTGGGAGTCACAGTTCTGTGGTGCTCAGTCCAATTTATGATTGTGGATCTCCTGGCACTGGCGGGGAGGCCTATGGAACTTGCTTAAGAGTTCCACAAAGGCACATCAGAAAAGCATGCTAACTGTCAGCGTGCACTCCTTGGGAAGGAAAATATGGGTGCTATGAATAGAAAAGGTTTGAAATGTACTGGCTATGGCAACCTCCCTGACAAGGTAGTAGGAGTGCATTTTCCCCTTCTGGATGGTGAATCTTCAAGATTTCAGTGCTAGGTAAATGTTTGCTTTCCTGTCTTTGCTTTCCTTTGTCACAAAGATAGAAGGAAATGGCTTAATAAGCATTTGCAGGTTGTTGTCAGGCTGCAAAGTGCTTTATAGAAGATGTGAGCATGATTAGCCCTGTTTTGGACAACTGAGGCTCTGGGAGGCAATCAGGGTGATGAAGCATCACCAGTTGCCTGGTGGGGGCAGAGTTTGTGTTCTTCATGGCACTGCACTGAGTGCAATGCTGCACTGCCTCTGCATCTAGAAAGGTCTAGCTATGAAGCTAAGATGTTCTTTGCAGTCCTAAATGCCCTCTTAGCCAAGAGAGGTCCTATAGCAGTAGGACCCTGTCCCAGAGCCAGCAAGACAAAACTATTCACTACTGCAAACAGTTTCTGTGTTCCAAATCTTCTTTACTCTGTGAACTGGAGACACCTGGTCCCTCACACTGATACACTGGATGATTAGGATCGCTGTGGCTTGCATTCTGCAGAATCACTGTCTTCTGGAAGGAGGAAACCTCCTACCATGAAGAGTCTTTCTGTCTTGAGGTATGTAAGCAAGAATAGGTAATTCTTGCTGCATTTTTCCCTTCTACTTATCATAATCTATCTCACACAGAACCCATTAGGATCCCCTCTTGCCCCTCAGAACAACTATCCCAGTCTCTCCAAGGCCCACAGTGTTACCTGGCTATTTGAACCACTTGGTACATTGCTCTTTTCTTATTTGGAGGCAGCGTCATCTTATTTTTGACACAACAGTCAGATATGAAACTGAACATACCAAGACTAGCACTAACCTAAATTGTTACAGACATTGAAATGAACAATGAGAAGATCATTAGTGGCTTAACTGTGGGTCAATATGATGATTATTAAATATATTGATTCTTATAGCCTATAAACAACCTGTTTGCTGATTTTCCTGCTGGTATCATAGTTATAATAACAACAGTGGCCATCTCATGGCACAGTTAATACAACCATCATTCAGTATTTAGTATGAGCCTTACACCAATGCAAGCCTTCTTATACACTGATTTATGCCAACATAAAGGAAAACAAATACAAGCTCTGCTTTTAGATAAAAATCTCCCCAAAACCAAGATGTACATTAGTCCCAAGCCTGTTTCTGTAAATGTTTTCCTAACACAGTCCTCTGATGGACTCCGAAAGAATGATGTTTTCAGCTTACCTTCAGTTTCCAGTCGGCCTCCCCAAAGACAAATTTTGGTCTGTTTCTGGAGGAGACCAATTTATAGTTCTCGTGGACCAATTGCTGTGTTGGGAATGCTTTGCCTCATACTGGGAGTTTGCAATTTCCTGCTCTCCCTTGTGCAGAAGGATGTGACACACTGGAAAGTGACCTGAGGGACAGCGAGCATACATCACGTTCAGGAAGCGAACCCTGCGAATGAACATTGTGTGTTCGTTTTCCTGAAGTTTAGGGAAAAAAAAAAAAAAAAAAAGGATAAGTCTATTCCTGGCTCTGAGCTAGTGCAGTCATTCCCCTTTAGGGAATAGTTGCCCTTCCTTTCCCTGAAATAGCAGCTGACTTTACTCTGTGCTGGAGCCTCCAATTGCTTGATGACTGAAGCTCCCCCAGCTCCCCCCTAGTCTGTGTCTAGAGCTTTCAAAGCATCAGCCAATCAGCCCATCCATTCAAGGCCAGTGTACTTTTAAAATCCCAGCTCTTCAGGGTAGCTGTGCGTGTGAGTGGCTGGAGCACAGCTGTGGGATGTGAGAGCAGTGCTCCGCTCCATAAAAGGGAGGCAGCGCCAAGGCAAATGGCAAAATAATCACTTCAAACTCCCATCTTTTCCCCTTCTGCATGAACAAAACCATGCCACAAGCTGTA